CCTCTTGAACAACCCTATAAACAATAAGTAAAGATCTGAACAGACACCCAGCCAAAAAAAGTTATACAGATAGTACAAAACAGAAACACGCTCAACATCATACACCATTTAGTTCCGTTCAGCTCAGTTCAGTTGCTCAGTCGTGTCTGACTCTGTGCAACCCCATAAATCGCAGCACACCAGGCCTCCCTGTCCATCACCAACTCCCAGAGTTTACTCAAACTCATGTCCATCAAGTCGGTGATGCCATCCAGCCATCTCATCCTCTGTCGTCCCCTTCTCCTCCTGCCCCCAATCCCTCCCAGCATCAGGGTCTTTTCCAATCAGTCAATTCTTCGCATGAGGTGGCCAAATATTGGAGTTTCAGCTTCAGCGTCTGTCCTTCCAATGAACACCAGGACTGATCTCCTTTAGGATGGACTGGTTGGGTCTCCATTGGGGAATTACAAATTAAAGTCACGGGCTATCACACTACACATATTAGGGCTGCTAAACTCTAGATATATGACAATACCAATTGCTGGAGGCTGAGGAACAGCAGGAACACTCCCTCACTGCTAGTGGGATGCATGCACAGCCACCTTGTAACACAGTTGGGCAGTTTTCTCCAAAGCTAAACAAACCTCACCTTGGGATCCAACAATTGTACTTCCAGTTTTTAGGAAACTGCTTTGAAAAACCCATGCCCAAATGCAAACAAAGATGAACTTAGGCACAGCAGCGCTATCCATAATAGTTAAAAGCTTGAAGTAATCGGGGTATCCTTCAATAGATGAATGAATAATCAAATTGGGGTATATCCATCTCAAAGCAAGTAGAACATGCCACCCCAAAATATGCCTCTCTGCTGTAAGGATTGCTTAAGTCCACTTCCATGAAAAAAAAAAAAAAGAGGGCTCTCCAGAAACTATGCAACAACTGCCATTTTTTGATTGATATTTACAACAGAGAAATCGCTGCATTTGTGGGTTGTCCCTGTTTGCACCAGAAATACAGGATAATTAAAACTCAAGTAACATCAATGCAGAGGTCCCGACTTAAATCTATAAACAATCATACCCTTCTTTACTGTGTTTTGTGTCATTACCTTCCATAACTGGCTTCTCCCATTCTTCAGGGTCTTCTGTGTTTAGCTGAAGGTGGTATTTAAGGCAATGACTTTGGGCGTTTCAGGGAGTGACTCGGGTTTCTTTGGCAGCTCCCCTGTATACAGAAGCTATTTGTTGTTTTAGTCACTGAGTTGTGTTTGCCTCTTTGTGACCCCATGGACTGTAGCCCACCAGGCTCCTCTGTCCATGGGATTCCCCAGGCAAGGATACTGGAGTGGGTTGCCATTTCCTTCTCCAGGGGATCTTCCCAACCCAGGGGTCAAACCCAAGTCTCCTGTATTACAGGCAGATTCTTTACCACAAAGCCACCAGGGAAGCATAGAGGAGGTATGCTTCTGTTTTTTTCTCCTGATAATTTGTCTTTTATTATGGAAGGGCAGAGTGAAAATTTTTCTTCCTTCCATACACATGCAATGGAGTATTACTCATCAGTAGTAAGAAATGAACCACCAAACCTTGAAAAGCATGGTTAAATCTCACATGCATATCACTCAGTGAAAGCATACAACCTGGAGAGACAGGCTGAGACTGTCTTTGCCCATAGTTTATTTAACACAGAATTATAATAATTGCATAAGCCAGTAACATGCAGGATAATGTTTCCTTATAATAAACCAATAAAGAAATAACATAATCCAAACAAATGATAAATTAATTACACTGTTGTGCTACAGAAGGGGAGATGACAGGAATAAAGTCCAAATTCAGTTGAAGTTATTTATCACTTAAGGTGTAGCTTCTCTAAGAGGTTCTCCAGAGAATCAGGAGCCAGCCAGGAGCTGCTAGGGAACAATCCTGACACAGCTCGCTTCATTCTTAAATCAAAACAACTTTACTTGCACAACCTCTTTTGGCCTTTGTCATAAAAAAGTAGATTAAAACAACTTCACTTCCATCATAAAAAGTGCATTTGAAATCATATCAAACCAACACACAGCACTCTGGAGACTGGGAGGAAGTGGAGGAAGGGGAATGATGCTGGACAAGGTGGTCTCTGCTAGGGCTGGAGGGATTCAGAAGGACAGGAATCCCAGCCCCACCCCAGGGACCCTGCTTCCATGGGTCTGCACCATGTCGAAGCCTAGGGACAGCACTTTTAAACATCCTTCCAGGTGACCTAGCAAGCAGCCCAAGGGCCACGAAGTTAAAGAAGGTGATGGATCCAGCGGAGCGCAAACAGAGCAAGGGCTGACTCACTGACTAGAACCCCTCGGGCCTTTAGGGACAGGGAGGGGCTCACATTTGCTGACTGCAGTCTTGCCCAAACAGCCACGTTGTTCTGTTACAGATGACTTCACTGCAGGTTATTTCTCCTAAATTCTTGGAACTATGTATACAAGTAGGTTATATCATCTATGGGTTTCATTTCATCCCCTTGCTAAGGGGATTACAGACTGCTTGTGATAAACAGACACCCAAATGGATGAGAAACTCTAAGTGCTCAGAGGACACAGGACAAGGGTCTGGGGTCTGTGACAGACTCAGGAGCAGCTAGAGGCACGTGAGAGGCAGGGTGTCAAACAGGGCAGGGTAACTGACCCGGACGGAGTTGCTCTGGAGGTTTGCTGAAGGTGCGAGTCCCCCCGGCGTCAGGCAGGGCAGAAGCCCTGGATCCTTGCAGGGACCCTGCAGGAGAGTGGGCCTGTCCTGCCAGATGCCATGGGCCGCCAGGTGGCAGCATGGGACAGGAGAAGAAGGGCCGGGCCCAGGGCAGGAGGGCCAGGAAGGCAGCACTGCTCGTGGGAGATCAGGTCAGGAGCCCAGGCGGCCCAGCCCCGTGTCTCCATCACAGCATTGGACTGTCTCCCCCAGACCCTAGACTTCCCCAGGCTGGAGGACCACCAAAGAAAGCTAAGTCAGTGCAGTCCCTCCTTGCTTCCTGCAGTGACATGGTCATCCCACCAGGCCTCAGAGACAGCCCAGCTCCTCGCCACTCGGTCACTCTCAGGCCCACCCTCTGTTCCCTGGAGGCTGCTGCCCACTTCAGGCTTCCTGTGGCCCTGGGCCCATCTCCCAGCACTCAATCTGCAGGACCCAGGAAGCCCTCAGGAAGTGCCCCACCCCTCTTCACCCACCCCCGCCCCAGTGGAGATCTTCAGGCTATCTCAGGGTTCAGAGATCAGTACTGGGCCACGAAGCACGGTGAGTGGAGGGGGTTTTCCACCCCAAAAGAAAGGCCTGGGTCCGGGCCCAGCCCAAGAGCCTGCCACTCTCAACCACAAGCAAAGCAAGGCTAGAGGCCGTCAGCATCGCTTCCTTCCTCACTGACCAGGCTCACCTTGCCCCCTTATGTATGTCCACGCACCCCAAACAGTTTGCCAACCAACCCTCACAGAGCACCCTGGGCCCCTTGCTGCTTGGCACCCACTCAGGGCAAGGGGTGAGGACACACCCCCAGCTGCCCTTCTTGTGCTCTCACTGGCCGCGCCTTGATAAGCAGGTTGGACCCGCCCCCAGACTGGCCTGCGAGGCATAAAGCCGGGCGAGGCAGCTCAGGAGTCACCACCGCTGTCCACCATGAAGAGGAGCGGCACCCTCCTGCTAGCAGCTCTCACTGTGCTCTGCACCTGCGGTGAGTCTGCGCTGACAGGGGCTTCCAGCACATTCGGGAGGCTGGGGCCAGAGGAACAGGCGGGAACCTCGGAAACTAGAAATCCAGGCACTGACCCTGCAGTGACTGATGCCCACCTTCCCAGGCACCCCGACCACTTCCATCACACAACAGGAACGTGGGCAATGACCCTGGTGCCCTTGCTGACCTCAGTCCCCAGGCAGCCCTACCCCAATCATAGACTAAGCCCAAATGGCCCCAACCCCAGCCCAGCCTCAACCTCTGTCTCAGCCCCTGTGTCACCACCAAGCCCAATGTCACAAACTCAGCCCAACTCAGGCTGACCCTGACCCCAGTCCAAGCTCCAGGTAAGCCAACCTCACAGGAAGGGGAAATTCCCACTACATCAGAGGCTTGGCTTTCCTTCCTCAGTGATGCCAGGGAGCCCAGGGTGAAAAGAAGCAGCTGAGGTTAGGGTGACAGGAGGGGTCTGAGGGCAGGTGGAGTTGGGGGATGTTGCGGAGGAAAATATGGGGCAGGTGGGGTGGGCATTGATGGGAAGAGTCTGGAGAACCACTGAGGCTGGAGGTGGGAGGTCTGGGGCTGGGGTTGGAAAGAGTCCTGTCCTGGCATCATGTCACCCCCACAATACAGGGCTGGTCACAGGGGAGGACAGCGAAGAGCTTTTAATGGACTTCCTGCAAACGCTGCTGGTGGGGTCCACAGAGGAGCTCTATGAGGGGCCCCTCAGCAAGTACAACATCAATGCAGATGCCAAGGCAGCAATAGCCGAGCTCAAGTCCTGCATAGACGGCCTGCAGCCCATGCACAAGGCGGAGCTGGTCAAGCTGCTGGTATTGTGGTCGGGGGGCACCCATTCCCTAAAAGCCTGCAACCCTGGAGGGACCCACAGCCCTATTCCTTAGGCCCTTGACTAAATGCCATAGCACCTCATTGCCCACCCAGTATAACAACCCCATGCCCCACCTTCCCACAGACACCTTCACCCACCTCTGCCAGCAGAGGTGGACATCCCAGACCTCACTGCCCACAGCAGCCTTCAGCCTCCCCCTACACGCACATACGTGCATATGCACATGCTCACCTCTGCACACACACGCAACACACATACACACACATGCAAACACATGAACACACCCTGCTTCCCCAGCTGCTGGGAGGTGACTGGCTGCAATGTGCAGAGGCTGGCCTGGGCCTGTTTGCCTGATGGAGCTGTGGCTCTCCAGTTACTGATCAGTGGGCATGGAACCGCCAGGCCCCTTGGCCCACACGTGTCTGCCTTCCAGGTGCAAGTGTTGGGCAGTCAGGACGATGCCTAGTGGACCCCAGACGTGGCTCCAAGCAGCCATAGGACCAGCTACACAAGCAGCCATGATGACAACACCCCTACCACTTCCCTATGCATGAATTTATCCTCAAGTCATCCAATCAATAAAGCCTCCTGTAGCTCAGGCTCTGGCTCCTGTCTCTCCCCACCCTCAGGGACACTACAGACTCCCATACACAGGGTCATGTGAGTAGAGCACACATGTGTAAGTAACTCCACATAGAGGGCAGACCCACCAACAAAAATCCAGGCAGACACCCTTGTAAGGAAGAAGACAAAGCAAGCCAGTGTGTAGGCAGACATGTAGATGTAGGGAGGCATCGGACACAAGAAGGTCTGCAGAGGCAGAGGCAGAGGCAGGGGCAGGGGCTCAGAGCAAGGAGCAGCAGAGAGCCCCAGAGAGAGGCAGTGGGTACAGGCTGCCTCAACGCCAGGGCTGAGGGTACAGGCCGGGTGGGGGGGCTCTACGTCTGAAGGTTATCATTCTGAGACAATAAATGTGCACAATGTACACGTGACATGGGTCCAGGGGTTGAGAAGTCCCTCAAGGAAAGACACAAAGCCCCAGCTGGAGCCCCAGGAGGATTCTGCTGGTGAGGACACTCAGGGTCCAACGGTGGGCGCAGGCCACGTGGTGGGAGGAGGGCAGTGTCAGAGGAAGGCCCCTCAGCAGCTCCCCACACCAACACCTGCCCCCAAACCAGGGCAGGCCCGCCCTTTCCTGGGTCCCTGGGCCCCCAGCAGCCTTCCTGTGCCTCAGTTTCCCCAGCTCAGTAGTCTCAACTGGGGGCAGGATTGAGCAGGCTCAGCTCTGCCCCTAACAACTTTACTCCTTGCCTCACTGTGCTGGCCCCAGCCCTAGCAGTCCCTGGCTGTCCTCTGCACTCTACCCTGATCCCTGCAAAGAGGAGCAAAGCAAAGTCTCGGTCCTGAGCCAGGCATGGTGTGGGTGGAGGTCCCGTGGGCTGAGGCCATTGTCTCCATCACATAGACAGTGATCTAGAATCCACCATCCCACAGAGCCACATTCTAGAGCTCAGAAGCGGGGACACCTCCCCAATTCTTGACGCCCCCAGGGGGAGAGGAGAGGCCTTCCTCTCCATACTCCTTTTCTGGAACGCCCTGGCACCAAGGCTGGTGTGACGGGACCACCTCTGAGAAGGCTCAGTCCACAGGTCACTCTGAGTGCTGCTCCCAGACCAAAGAGGTGAGGGCCCCTCCAGAGCGGCCCCCTCCCCACTCCAGGGCACAGTCTCATGCAAGAAGTTCCCCATCTTTGTCCACTGCTCCTTACCCTGTCACATTCAGAGTCCTCTGAGCACAAGGAACCTGCCCAGACCCCCTCATAGCCACTGTGGGCAGGTCCACAAGCACTAAGACAGCTTCATGGGCTTGTCCGTGAGGGTCTGATGCTCCTCCTCTTGGGGGTGGGTGCAGCAGAGCCAACCCACTGCTCTAAGCAGAGGCTCCCAATGATCCCTGGTCTGGGCCCCAAGTCGAGACCCCACTGAGGAGGCACAGTGCCTGCAGTTCTGCCCATCGGTGCAGGCAAGAGCAGTGATGCGGGGGGGAGGGCCCAGGCCTTCCAGCATTCGGTCACCCTCCCATCCATGGACAGAACCAGTCATGGCAGAGGAGGTATGGGTGGGCACCTGGAGGCCCCATCGTCCCCGGGGGCCCATCATGGCCCTCTACAGCAGCCCTGGACCCAAGTACCTGATTCCACCCACCACGGGTAAGCCCTTGGGAATCTGGGAGGGCGGAGCAGGGGAAGCAGAAGCCAGGTCTGGGGTGGGCCTGGGGTGGGCCTGGGCTCATCTCTCACTCCCAGACCATCAACTCCTCTAGGGTCAATGGGGGGTTGGGGGGAAGGGCAGGGTCTGGTTCCAGGCCGCTCAGAATCCCTGCCCCACAGGCTTTGTGAAGCACACGCCCACCAAGCTGCGTGCACCGGCCTACAGCTTCCGCGGGGCTCCCATGCTCCTGGCAGAGAACTGCTCCCCAGGGCCCCGCTACAGTGTGAACCCCAAGATACTGAGGACTGGCAAGGATCTTGGCCCCGCCTACTCCATCTTGGGGCGCTACCACACAAAGACCACACTGACCCCTGGCCCCGGTGAGGGCCCCTGGCTCAGCCCCAGCCTTGCCCAAGCCTCTGCAAACCTTGGGGCATGAGCATGTGAAGGGTGCAGCCATCCTCACCCTCCCAACCCACCTTCTCCTCACAACGGTGCAACGTCGGGGCCTGGTGGGGAGCTGGGGCCCAGTGCAGCCTCTGAGACTCTGGTGTCCAACTCTGATTGAGGGCCTTCCTTGTCTGATTGAGTCACCGCACCAGGCCCACATCAGACTCACTCTCCAGGCCCCTGTCTCTCTAACTCCTGCAACCAGAGTTTTCATCCCGGACACGCCTTGCAAAACCACGGTTGCCTCTTACTGGGGCCCAGAGGCCCCACACCTGCCACGGTGGGGGTCCTCCTTGAGTTGACCAGGGCTAGGCATCTGTTTTGATCTGTAGGATCATTCTTACCCTCCAGTACCCACGTTCTTCCCCCCAACCCATCCCAGGCGACTACTTTCCAGAGAAATCTACCAAGCATGTGTTCGACTCGGCGCCCAGCCACTCCATTTCTGCCCGAACCAAGACCTTCCGAGTAGACAGCACCCCAGGTCTGCAGCAGTCTCAATGACCCATAGCTGACTGGGTTGGGGACCCTGTGTAGGGTGGGTGAGGGGGCCCACCCTGATAGCTGGTCTCCTGGAGGTGGAGAGCCCAGGGAAGAAGCCAGTGGAGACTCGGGCACAGGACTCTGTCCAGCCTGAGACTCGACACTGGTGCAACTGCAGGCCCCGCAGCCTACATGCTGCCCATGGTGATGGGCCCCCACACGGTCGGCAAGGCCTCCCAGCCCTCCTTCTCCATCAAGGGCCGCAGCAAGCTGGGCAGCTTCAGCGACGACCTGCACAAGGCAAGGGTCACCTGGCTGGGGCACAGCACTGCTTATCCCCTAGAGAGATGGCCCATCTGGTCCCTTCCCCCAGACTCCAGGGCCTACCAGCCTGACCCCCATCCTCCCGAAGCTCCGAAGCTCTTCCTCCTCTGGGAGCCTGCCACCTATCTGGCCCCACCCTCACTGGGCTACATTCCAGAGGTGAGGAGGGGCAGACGGTGGACAAGGATGAAAGAGGTTAAGACTAGGCCAGGAGGCTGACGGTGCTGAGGAGTGATGAAAGCGACGGGTGTGTGGGTGCTGCCTGAGAGGCGAGGAGAGTCTGAGACAGCGCAGCATGCAGGAAGACGCTGAGCAGAGGAGAAAAAGGGGTTGTGACGTATTTGGGGGAGGAGGGCTCTGGCTTCAGAAATAGCCAACGCAAAGGCACTGAGATGCTTGTGTGCCTGGGAGCCTGGCAAGGCTGGCATCACAGCACTGCCAATCTCACCAGCCCAGCCCGTGGCCCTTGAGTCCCTAGTTGGAAAGGGGCCTCTTTCACACACACTCATGGAAGGGAAAATCTGGGGCTGGCACAGACTGGGGTGTCATTGCCACGGTGAGGCTGAAGAGAAGGTGACATCCACACAGAGAAGGGTCCACAGCACTGGAGTGTTGTCCCATGGTATGGCCATTGTTTGGAGACAGAAGAGGCCCCTGACACACAGACACACAGTGATTTGGGGCCTGAAACACACTGTCTGATGCCAGTCCTTGGAGGCCCCGCACTCTGGCAGGCCGAGCCTGTCTGAGCCTCTTTCACCCTGCAGACCCCAGGTCCCGCGGCCTACCGCCAGACTGATGTCCAGGTGACTAAGTTCAAGGCTCCACAGTATACCATGGCTGCCCGGGTGGAGCCCCCAGGGGACAAGACCCTAAAGCCAGGACCAGGAGCCCACAGCCCTGAGAAGGTCTGGCAAGAGCGCGGCCCAGATGGATGGGGTGGGGGCAGGAGGGGTGACATGGCCCAGGGGGTGGTGCAGGGAAGGGCCTGCAAGCCTGCAAGGGTCATGGCAGGCGGGTACCTTCAGGACACGCGTTCCACCACCAGCCCTCTCCCCCGCCGGTGGGCTTTATGTTCCCAGACCCCCAGACAGAGGATGGTGAGTGCTGCCGAGCACTCACCACACCCAGGCTCTGCAGTCAAGCCTGGCAGAGTGGACTTCCTGCTGGTCACCTTGGCCCAGGGCTTCGGGGGTACAGCAAAACTGCCGTCAGAAGCCCCGGCCCGTGAGGCAGAGCCTGCAGGGTGGGGGCAGCAGTGCCGGCTCCTCACAGCCTCTCCTCCCCCAGGTGACGATGACCAAGCCCTGCGCCCCTGTCGTCTCCTTTGGCATCAAACACTCTGACTACATGACGCCCCTGGTTGTGGATGTGGAATAGCCCGGCCCTGCCCCCGCCATCGCTGGAAGCCTCTGCATGTCACATCCCCCCACTAACAGACTCCCTGAGTTGAGGGCTATGGGCGCCTCCTCCTCCGGCTGGGCTGCAGCCAGCCTGGCCCTGGAGGGCAGAGCATGCTTGTTTGGACAATTGCGATCAGTTATTTTTTTCTATGCATTCCCATTTGCAAACCTTGTTTCTTGCTGTGCCCAGATATATAATAAAATCATGGATTCTACTAGCAATGGTCTCTTGTGGGAGAGGATCCAGCTTTTCCAGAAAGAGGCCCCCATAGGCGATCATGCCATCCCATGTCAGGTTCCAGGGCCTGGGGTCTGAGCTGAGAGGCCTCATTCCGCCTCCATCCCTGCCCTCCACATTCTGTTGTATCCTCCAGACAGTTTGTCCCTGTGAGACTGACTCTTCCCTGCTGAGATATGGAGTCTGTGCCCCTCCCCTGGAATCTAGGACAGACCCTGTGACCATCCTAAATAATCATGCTGCTGTTACTTGACTTCTGAAGCCAGGCCACACAATATACAAAGGGTTTCTGCCTGGACACCCTCCTTCTCTTTGCTCATCCTCCCATCAGCCACCATGTTGTAAGCTCAACACACAG